TAAATAAAAAATTCTGACATTTAAAATTGTCTCACAATCAACTTTTTGAATATTGTTTCAAAACAGATTTTTCCCTTTCTGTCTCTCTTCTTAAATTTTTGGTTTTAAAAAGGATTTCTGCTAACTTGTATATATGCATTCTTAAGAGTTCAAAGTTAAGTTCACTCATAATTAAACAAAGTACTTAAGATAGACACTAAAATGTGTGTATTCTATGAATATGCAGTGTCTGTACAGTTCAAAGAACATTAATCTGTCCAGATGTTTCTCAGTTCTGCACCAAATACTAGTGAGCTGACACTGTGAAATCAGGTGAAATCATGAACATATCAGAGTATATAATTAAAATAACTTAAGTTGGAACAGTTCTTAAGGCAGCATTAGGAAGCTATTTTTTTTATTTTAATCAATATACAAACCCATCTGAAATAGAATTTTTGGCCAAAAATAGTAATACATTAAGCCCTTGGATTTATGGGCTTCGATGTAGTGTCTTTAGAAAATTGTCTGAATAGAACAAAAAAAATAGGTAACATTGTTAAAATAACCTTTAAACAAAATTCCTTTGGATATTGTCACATAGTACTGTATGTCTAGCCACCTTTATCCTTAGAGCTAGTAGCTCATGAGTCTGGATTGTCCTTTGCCTTCAAGAGATCGAAAATGCTTCATGAGAGGCAAGTGGTATTATAACCTGTGGATGGCTTGAAGACATAGAGGGAAATGAGAAGGAAGAAAGAGGAAGGGGAGGAGGAGTTCTTCAGGTTGAAGAGTTCAGGGGTGCTGCAGGACAAAAGGGGTGAAGTACAGGCATTTGCCTGTGGAGAAGGTGAACAAGAAGTAGAAGTAGTCTTCAAGGACTACTTGCACTTCAGAGCAAGACCCCAGCTGTGGGAATAAGTAAGTATAGAGAAACCTATATTGCATTTATGGTATTCTCCTACCAGGAGGAACTAATCTTATTTATTCTGTAAGTCTGTTTGCTTATTCAGAAAGGGTAAAGCAGCAACATTATGAGATCCTTGAGGAGTGAAAGAACAGTCCGCTCCAAACCTTCAACACAAAACGCAGGTCCTCTGTCTGCACTTATAGCCACTGAAAGTCCTTTGACTGGGGACAGACATCTGAATTTTTCTCCTTTCCATAGAGGATAGACGTAGTTTCTAAATAACAGAGAATGCTTGGCAATACATCTCTGTGCATGTTAAGTGAGAGCTCTAAACAAAAATGCAGCTTGCAAAAGTTTGTAAGAAAAAGCAGAAATTACTGAAAATCCCTCATCAGCTCACTCAGATGTAGCGGCTGGAACAGGCACACCAAGAGGGTCACATGCCAGCAGCATGAAATACAGTGTGGTCCCTTTTGCAGCAATGCACTTGGGAGTCAGCCAGATGTCCTGGACTGTGCTGCCTCCATGAGCAGGTCATCTTCTGTTCTTTGTTGGTTATCGCATTCAGATTTGGAACTACTGGGATTCCTTGGATTTATCTATTTATTTATTTAAATGCCTGTAGTGGCAGGGAAACTTCAGTCTCTTAACTGCTTCAAACTGTAGTGCCTATGGTAATTGAGCCAACAGCATTTAGATATACAATCTCAATGTTTAAAGAATGTGTAAATTCTAATGAGAATTGAGAATTGAGAATGAAGTAAACAAACAACAACAACAACAAAAAAGAAGTACTTAGTGTCTATGAAGTACTTTCACAGAACAAAGTATCAAAGGACAAGATGTTTGCTCTAAGAAGACCCTGATCTGTTTGACTCAATGTCTCTATTCTGCTGCAAGATTCCTGATTCACATTTTCTTTGGTTTCATCACAGGAACCCTAAATTCAGTGCATGTGTTAGTAGCGTGAATTTTATGCATAAACTGGATGTGCAGTTTCTTTCAACCTGAAATTTTTGTCTTGATGTGATTGTATAGATTCTGAACAAAGAACTTCTGATTTTTTTTTTTGGTGTATTGGCTAATGACAACCATTTCTCATGCTTTTTTTCAAGATAAGCATGGTTATTTTACTAAATTGCAGCTATACTTTGGCTACTGAAAGCTGATAAAAGAGCTTTATCTGAGTCCAAAAACCAGATGATGATTATACATCAACATGTAAAATGGGCTTAAAGCACTCAGGATTTAGTTACAGCTGTTATTACTCTGTCATATAACATAAATTTGTTAAAGGAATCTTAAAAGATTTGAAGTTATAAAGTAGTTCACAGTAACTGAATTAAGTTCCTATTTTAGTAAACCATTTTGTGCTGTTATAGCAGATACTATGAAGCAGTCTTCAGACATCACAAAGGTATATGCTCTGATTTCTTAGTAGTGGGGTAGCACAAGCACCCCTTGAAATCAATAAGGTCATGGTTGATTTATGTGGTAAACAAGACAGAATTGAGAGATGCAATAATGAGGTCTTGCTTTATGGGCTGTTGAAAATTTGGCCTTGTTACACTTCGTAATACCTTTTTTTTTTTTTTTTATGGGAGAATTTTCCCTACTTCCCCCTCCAGTCTGCAAAGTCATTTTTATGCTGCTTGTGTATTTTCTCATTATATAGGCATGTGAAGTGTTTTGCCTCTGTTCAGTATGTTTGTGCATTTAAGCAAACAGGCAATTAAGGACTAAGGAAAATATGTTAATATTTATATCTAAGTGATAAGGCTTTCTTTAAATACTGCCTTATATATATATCTGCGTTGTTAAACGTTGCACATACTTGCTATGTCAACTCTTGGCAATATCACATGCATTTTAATGCTGTTCCTAAAATAAAGCTGTGGTCTTCTGCACAGAGAGAAGTGTACTGGTCTGGTTTCTCCCTAGCTCTGCCATGTACTTGTAACTTGGAGAAAGCTGCTCAGCTTTTTCCTCCTCTATCACAGTTCTGAATTTGGATATTAGCAACTTCCTTGTTAAACAGTTATGGTTGCAATTAAGTTGTCTTTGGGTTCAGAGTATTGTAAAAATTCATATTGCTTTTCTGCTGCTGCTCTACTGCTCTTCACTCTCTGCCCTAACAAAAGCATAGGCAAGTTTTGTTTGCAGAATTTACGTCCTTACAAATCAGCCTTACAAATCTGATAGCTAGAGTTAACATACAGCCAGCCTAAGTGCTGGTGCACACAGTGTCCTTACCACAATACCCAGTTGGCCTTTACTGGCAGGCAGTTATCAGCTGAGAATGTGTTGGCTATACCAAGCTGTCTTCTGGATCTCTGGGACAAGGTTTACCACAGACAGTTTTGTGTGTGTGTTTTTTTTTCTTTTTGTTTTTGTTTTTCCTCTCCTGAATTACTAGTGCCATCTCAGTAATTTGAGTTCTGTCCTACCTCCTTTCAGTTATTTTATTTATCATGTATTTATTAATCTTGCATGGCTTTAGCATATGCACTAACAGAGTCAAGGTTGTCCATCTGCATTTCCCAAAACTGCACCCTGGGGCACAGCTGCCTGCAGTTCAAGGCATAGTGGGTTACAGGAGGAAACACAGGTAATAAATAGCTGTTTAGCAGTAAGTCCTACATAGAAAATAAGGGTAAAGGAAACTTGATTTTCAATGCATTTGTGGATGACTATCAAATTATTCTTCTTTTTGATCTAACAGAATAGTGAAACTGGGACATTACAGTACAGCTTTGCTTCAAGAACATAATCAGAGCATTAACATTTTAAACTAGGGCTGAAATTGCAGTTGTAGAAAAACAATTAATTTTACCACATTTTATTTTACCTACGGAGCTGAACACTTCGATTATAAAATGAAGAAACACAATTTCTTTAAAATGTTTCATTCCAACATTGTGCATTGCATTTTCATCTGTTGTATCTAATTACCTTTCTGCTGTGTTTTTAGGAGATTCTTAGGAATGAAAGTTATAGACAAGAGATGGAGCAGAAGGTCAAAGATGTGTATGAGAAGGATAAGCTTCTTCAGGCCAAGGAGTACAAGGAGGGACTTGTTGCTGAACCAGTTCGTACGCACGTTAAAGGCCACGCATCAGCTCCTTACTTTGGAAAGAGCGAGCCTTCCCAAGATCCAGCAAGCACCGCGAACACCTTTCAGCCGGGCTCCTGGATCCCACCAGCCAGCGGCAGTAATCAACCTAAATAACCGCCTGTAATACAGATACTGGCAATGGATAAACACGTCAGCAGACAAGCTGACAGCATAAACAGGCCTTACATATGGCGAGTGTGTGCTCAACTGGTATTAAAACCAAGTTCCATGTATTTTTGCAGAACAGTTCAAATAAGTTTAGTTGTGACAAACTACTGTAAAATGCTTTAATTTAATGAAAAATTGGATGCATTAGTAAGTTCATTCTCCGCGGTTGCTGTTCTTCCATGATTCCATTATTCTTTATTCTTTAAATAATTTCAGTTGGGTTTTCTGGATAACTTAATTTTCTTAAATAAGTTGCTTTTTTTTCTTGAAGATGGATTTATTTTTTAAATCGTTTTTGATGTAATAAACTTTGGCTAATTAGTACATTTAAATCATCATCCCAAACATAGGCATTTCATATAGTTCTTCAGAATTCCTGTTCACTTCTATGACAGTGCCCAGCATTGCTGAACTTGCAAGCTTTCCTCTGGCAGTTATATGGAGAAGTTGATTTAATTAACAGGAATCACTATGACACTGCAGTAATTTTAGAGACATTCTTGCAACTTTAATAAAGGAATCAACATATTTGAATAAAGTTTTACTTGAAGCCAGCAATAAGCACAGAATAAAGTCAGAGTTAGACTGTCTATTGTTATTGTAAGAGGTTAGAAGCATTTAGTAAAGATGGTGAAAAATGGCAGAGAGGTTTCAGGAGAAGGGATTGGCACTAATACTCCTCCACCCCACAATGATTTTTTATGTCTGGTGTATGCTAAGACTTCCCTAAATTATTTGATGTGTTTGGTTCAGATACATAAAATGTGCGCATTGTTTGCTTAGAAATGATGCTTGAGAACTTCAAGTCAAAATAAAGTCCACACAATCTTTTGAAAAAGTATCAAATTTATTTATGCAGTGCATCCTTAATCAGTTCTGTTCAATGTGTTTTAAACTATGTAGGTGCTAAAGGTGGCATACACATCTGACATTTGAGACAACAGCGACTTAATCCCCCGTACCACAAGATGTGGGTATGTCATTCTAATAATGCTTGCCTTGACCAATAAAACTAAAAGATGGTCATCAGTTTCTGGTTGCAGGTAAGTACTTCACGTTTACTTGAAGTCATTTCAGCTAAACTTCCCCTTCTTATCCTGCTACTGTCAGCCAGCCCTATGGGTCTCTTTGCTTCCTGTGACATTAAGGTTTCATTTTTAAACATATAATAAAGGACTAGTTGGTAGCAAGCATGACTTTGTGCTGCCATTTAGAAATACGCAAAATCTGAAAATGTAATGACTTCGACAAGCTTTAAAACTAGACTAGTAATCAAAATTAGGCTTTGAAAAAAAAAAATCATTTGTTAGAAAAACATGAATTGGAATTAAGGTTAAAAAATTTTGGCATATTTACAACAGAATCCCCACTAAGACTTTTTCTACTGTGCCAGCATTTTGCAACCTGGAAAGCAGTGAAATTTCAAGGGCCACAAGAACACAGTGATACCACCTAGAGTCTGAAGGTCCTAAATCAAAGGTAGCACGTAGGAAGAACCACTGCCATCAGCATGCACATCCTAGTGGTGTACTCTCCCCACAGCCACCTAGGTCACGAAGACACAGAACATGAGACCACTGGGCCTTTGCTCTGCCCCCATTTATGGCTACTCTCTGAGGCATAAAAAGCTTCTGAAGACAGAAACGAGTTACAGGTGCACTGTTCAGGTGATTATGAGGGAAAACCAAACAATGCGGTAGTGTGCTTTGTAAAACATGAATAGCATCAGACAAATGGAGGTATTAAGAACAAAAAATCAACTTCCTAAAGAAAACAAAGACTGATGATGGGTCAATAGTTCTGGAAACAGGAAAAGCCAAGTTAGGTTCTTTGTGCAGCCAAGCCCCACCATCAACTAAGCTACAGCAGCCCCTACGGGCACACCGTGAATGAACTGCATGTCCATACGCCCTGAGTGTGGGTGAAACACGTTAGCAAACCAAGAAGCTTGGAAGTCAGCTTCTCTACAGCTCTGCTGCAGGTGTACCAAAGCCTGCCTTCCTGTATTCCAGTTTACCAGGAATTACAAAATACACCTAAGCACAACATGAACAACCCCAACAGAGAGGTCCCGCAACACAGAAAATGGCTTGCTATACCAAGAAACCAGAGGTTATAGCATTTAATGAGTCATCCCCATAATTTGACACTTTTAAGACACTTGTTAAGTCATAGCTCAGCTATAGAAGAAAAATAATAAATAAATGCCCCCAGTGCCACCCAACTAAATCACTTCTGGATTTAACATGCAAATTTAGAAAAGCAGCCTGCACTGGAACACAAGTCGATTAACCGGCTGTAACATGTGTCGCTTGGGCAAACTTTAACACAGATCATTTCGGCAGGAAAAAAAAATATATATATATATATACTGAAGGAGTTAAATTTCATGCTTCAAGATGTAAGAGGATCAAGTATCAAAGGAAGGTTACAACACAACACGTCCCAACAGTGCTTCATTAAAAAAAAAAAAAAAAGAAAAGTGTGTTCGTGTCCCTGCCCGCTTAATCCCTCTTGGCCCGCTTGGCTTTGGCGATGTTCTCCTGGCGCTTCTGCTTCTTCTTCTGCTCGCGCTCCCTGGCCTCGATCATCTTCGCCAGCTTCCAGGACAGCGCGGCGCTGATGATGAAGAGCGGCGTCAGGGCCAGGATGACGGTGGTGAGGAAGCCGTAGGGGTCCTTGGCCGCCCACTCCACCACGTACTCGGCCCAGCCCTTCACGTCCAGCATCTTCCGCGCTCCCCGCGCCGCGACGCTGCGGGGCGAGAGACAACGCCTGAGGCAGCGCCCGCCGGGCCGCGCCGCGCCGCGCCGCCACCCCCTCAGCGCCGGCAAGCCAGCCCCCGGCCGGCCTGTCGCGACACGCCCCGCGATAGCGGACCCCACCTGCGGGCCGAAGCGCGGTGCCGCGAGGCCGGGACGTGCCCCCGGCCGCCCCCCGCCGCCCCTCGCCCGTCCCGGAGCGCTGCGGGGCCGCGCGGCGGAAGCAGGAAGGGGGAGGCCTCGCCGCGCCTGCCCGCAGCCGCCGCCCCGCCCCGTCATGGCCGGCGGCGCGGCGCTGCTCCGTGGCTCCGAGGGCGGGAGGCGGGCGAGCGGGGAGAAGTTTTGACAAAGGGGGGGTTGCTGACGGGAGGTGGGAATCGCCCGAAGTGCGGCAGGCTGAGGGAGTGAGACGCAGCAGGGTAAAACTCAGAAGGACTGAGTGAGATAAACGCGCTGTGGTGCTATGTGCTGCCCTCCGTGGGGGGCTACCCGTGAGATCCCACCCAGCACCTGCCCGCAGGGTTCAGCCCCTTCTAACATCTCCTGAAAACTTCGGCTCTGCACAGGGCTTAACGCCGGCATGCACATAAGCATCAAAGCTCTTGGGGTATAGGTCCCTTGCTGGTCTGTAGCTTGCAAGTGTTAGTAAAAGTGTACCTACCTGAATTTATTGGCGCTCAGGTACTGGTTCTGAGGTGTTGTGTTGTATCCCTGCAAGCTGTTTTTGCATGCTGCGCAGCCAAGCATGCCTCACATCATCACCTTTAAACCTACTGCAAAATTAATTTCTAGTCCCCGTCTTTCCCACAATAATAATAGTCTCATCTGTCTGTTTCTGTCTCCATCTCTTCTAAGCTTTATTGATTTAAAGACAAAAGTGCCTGATTCACCACAGCAGGGAAGAAACAAAAAGCAGGGATTTTTTAATTTGCTTTCCTAAGATAACACCTTATGTAATTACCTTCTCTGTGTGTCCTTCTCCCTCTCACAGCTTCCGAAGCAGTTGGCCAGTTACACTGGCGAAGCAGCAGAGACCTCCTACATAATAATTATGTTCCGTTATGGTTTGTCAAAGTGAGCAGCTAGGTGGAGGAGAGAGGCCCGGGCCGTACACAGCCTTGCATCTGTGTTTGTCAGGAATGAAGGGAAGTTGCAGGATGCCCACCCAAGGGGGGCTTAATTCAGAACAGTTCACCCTCCTTGTTTTGCTTTTGTGAGTTATGTTTTCAGTTGTTACTCTTCCAGTAGTCAAAGAGTGAGCAGAAATTCCAGGGTTCTCTGTTAGTTAAACAAAGCAGCACAACTGTCCACTCACCATCAGAGCACTTCAACAGACCACCTTAAGCTTATGTCTATGTTCACTGTAATTTTGGCAGTCAGCTGTGACTTTGTAAATCTGCACTTTATTTGACATCTCTTCTGGGATACCTTTAACTGACCTATCCTGTTAATTTCTAAGCATGTGCCTGTGTGTAGTTTAATCCAGGCAGTATTTAATTCCGTATGTCAGCTATAAGCAGAAGAGTGAGAGAATTTTAAGGGCTATGATGGGGAGGGAAGGATACACTGGTGAAAGATCACATCATTTAAAGTGTGTTTTGAAAGTCATGGTCTTCTGCTTCATACCAAATATCCCAATGTTTTACTTAGGCCTCACTCCAGATACCTAGGATAGGAAGGAACCTTACTTAGGGTGGAATTAAACTTGTTGATAACTACATGCCAACTCAATGCCAGCAGCTACAAAACTAGCATCAAAATATCATACAGCAGGAATTTATGAACTATCAAGTTTGATAAAGTAAAACCACTTGTCAATTTTTAAAATTTATATACATATACATACGTGAGCAGCTTAAGAGTTCATTTCAATGGAATTTCATGAGAACATGCTGGAGGGGGCAAGCATTACTGTCCATTGTCACACTTTCAAAGGGGGAGTGGGCAGAGGAATGGAAGTGGCTCTCCAAAAATCCAGCAACAATAAAGCAAGATTCAGTGCGCAGAAATGTGCTGAGAATGTACTATAGGCATGGGAAATTGGAGAGTTACTTGCATGAAAGCAGAGCATTTCTCATGCCAGCAGTCACAGAAGAGTGTTTGAGTGTGCGTGCTGAAAACAAGCTTTGAGTAAACGCATTTGTTTCGCTGGGGTGTGTTGACATGCGTCAGTGGTCCAGAATCTTTCTATACAAGGAAGTTGCTAAACGTTTCACGCTGTGTAATCTCTAACTACCCTTTCGTCTTCTGTGAATTCTGAGGATAAACTGGTTCCTTGAAACTACTTTTGTTCTATATGCAGTATGAATTCCACAATAACCTTTGTGTTTACTTACTAATTTTGTGGGCATGTTGTATTCCATCTGCTGAATGTTCCTGTTCCTATAAGAGCCAGGTAGACATCTTCCCCCCTCCCTGATCCTGTAAAATCTCTAAGCTGTCACTTTTTTGACAGTGCATGATACATCCACAGTATGTGCCAGCCAATAAGCGTTCTGGGTTCTATAGCTTTACTGGAGCCAACAAAACTCCTTTGTACCATTGGGGATTAAGGATTCTTTTTTTTTTTTTTTTTTTTTTTTTTTTTTTTTTTTTTTCTGCTACAAATCTGTATTTAAAAACATTGGTGTTTTATGTTTTAAGTGGCTCTGCATTACATCTTTGTTCTGTAAATTGCATTAGCAACCCCTTGTATTAGTTGTTTGGCTACCATTCAGCACAGCTAGGCCTGAGAATCCAAGATGAAATCGTGAGTAATAGTGCTGCTCTGCTTAGCTCACTTCCAATCATCCTTATAAATTGTCCTGATACTTTGTGCTTCTAAGGATGGGAAATGTGTGAGGACAGTGCATGACAGATAGGCCAAGGAGTATCTTTTGTGTCTTAAGAAAGTGGTAATACCTGTCTGTATCTGTATCTATATCTGTATCTATAAATATATATATTTAAATAATACAAATATATGGAATATTAAAGAATGTTCAAATGCTTCTGTGCTCACAGGTGACTTACTTAGGTAATAGCGTTATTTTTATTATCCTTATAATTAATTATATAACTGAAAAACGAAAGTGCATCAAGCCTTACTCCCACCTTTATTTGTTCCTGTTTTGGTTCTTCTACATTTAAAAATGGAAATGAAATACCAAAGATGCAAATGGAAGTTAAACAAATAATATAGATCTTCCCTTCACTTAGATCATTACTGCAATCTGTTATGACTGTAGCTGATACGAGTTTTAACTGGTTCTTGGATTTTCTTGGAAAACCTTTAAAGGAAAGGAGAGTTAAAAATCATCATCAATAGAGCTTTATAAATCCTCAGATAAATCCTTATACCAACAGTGACACTGGGCGTGGGCTCATCCTGAGAAGTTTAGGCATCTTAAGTCTCACCGCCTAGGAAAAGAGTAGAAAGTCCACATAGAAAGACTGATGCCTCTGAACGATGGTTCAGGCAGTTCACGATGCGAGCCGTTCTCTGAAGCTGCCTGTTCCCTTTCACGAACCGTAGAGGGCACTAAGGATTGAGGATAACGCTCCCTAATTTAAGGACCTCCGTTAAATGCTAAATTGAAGTGCAAGGAACACAGAGCAAACAACATACCCTTCATTGTATCAACTCCGTGTCTTTATGTGTATGTTGAGGATAATATTTATCCACCTTAACATATTTTGAAGTTGTTGAATAAAAGAAACAGTGCCAATTTGGCCACGAGTATAACTTTTAGGTTTCAAGTTCAGGTTTCCCTTCATTTTGTCGAAGCTAGAGTTTAACATCCAGTATATGCTTATTATAAAGCCATATGCAAGTAATGGATCTAAACACAAAGTTTTCAAATTAATGGGGTATGGTTACAATTCTTTATTTCTGCAGGTTATTTATCGTGCTTTTCCTTTGCTTTCTCTTTTTCTTCTGGTTTTTCTTCCTTTTGAAGCAGTGCTCAGTATGGATGCAGTTCTAATATTTTTTCTTCTATTTGTGCTCTGACTCTATTTTCTACTATATAAACTTCATAGCACTTGGTGTTTCTAGTGGCTATCTAGTCATCTCCCAAGATATTTTTTTTGTGTGTGTGGCTCCCTTAGCAGAAAAGATGAAGATGAGGAGACTGATTCACATGTAAGTCTTAAATTATTTTTATGACTTAATGCATGAACACTCAAAGGTAAAAAACATAGCCTGCTCTGTAACTACTATATATGTTCTGAGAAGACCTGGAGAACCAGAGCCATATTTCTGTCTAGTTCATCACAGTTCATAAAAGAGCTGAGATAGTTATTTTTAATTTAATTACAAGAGCAGTAGAAAGTAATGATGCTGCTTCACTAAGTTGCAGCAGCTTCAGTAAGTGTCACGCTATTCCTAACTGTAACGGAGTGAATGTCCCAGGATGATGACTCCAAGAATCCCTCTGCTTGAATCATTGTGCTCTGCATACGGTGTAAAAATGAGGTCCTGATACTTGCAGTAATAATAACTGTACTCTGTAGTATTTCAGTACTCTGAAGTGTTTGTCTCATAGTCAGGAACATCTCCCACAGCCTTTCTAGTGTCCTTGCTAAATGCTAGATCAAGTGAACCATATTTTCCTAAAGAATTTCCCTTTCACAGCTGTGATGATTTTGATTTCCATTTTATAGGGTACCACAAGGATTCTGGGTGATCCAGGACAAAAGTGAAATTTCAGACTCTTTCATTGTGGGATAAGGTTTAATGACTTAGGACTGCTTTCATAGCAAATAACCCATATCCTATTTCCTCTCTGGGAAACTAGACCTATGTGCTATGGTATATTTTTCCTGTGTCTTGTCTGGCTTCTATTTGCTATCTGAAGATTACAGAATCTTTTTTTTTTTCTTTTTTTTTCTTTTTTTTGTCTTTTTTTCTTTCCTTCATATATGTGTTCAGAAAAACTTGAAAAACCATTGGGAGCTCTCTGATTAAAGATATTGTGTAATTCCTCAGTACCAATATTGAGTGTCCATTTCAGCATTAAATTAACTTATAGGAGTGGTGTATGTACAAGTCTCTGAGATGTGAAAGACAGCCAGTGTTGTAGGCTGCTTTCTGCTCTGTCTCATATGGAAGAAAACCTGTTGTCAGTAGAACTGGGAGTCTGTACCTTGCTGGAATTCCTAGTCCTACGAAGTGGAATGCTGTAGCAGTCTGTAGCATTACATACATAAACCTTGCTTCCACTCAGCGGTCTGAATATGGCAAAAAAGTGAATTCTGGTATGTTCTTTCTCCTTATATTCATGCTGGAGTTTAGACACCTA